CCGCTCTACTTCCGGTTTAAAATAAGTAAGTACAGAAACAAGCCTGAGTCTTAGTAATATCGTGACAAGTGAAAAACTACAACGTTTCCCTTGTTAAAACGGCTATAACTCTACAACGCGGTCTGGTTTGCATTTCCGTGCGAAGATGAACCCGGGTAGCCGCGTCTGCGAGATTTATACGCCACTTGCGGAAATTGACCGTCACATTCTTCTTAATGTTATTAATTTCTTAGGGATTTCATGTAAATCAAAACGTCGTGTTCAGTTCAGTAAATATGATTTAGTATGTGTAATATATGGCAATAGCCCTGAACTACAAAATTATAAATATAACATAACCATAAATATTTCTCTAGAGCCTCTAGACACTATTTATAATTTCATAACTCGTTGAAGAACTAGGCAACCGATATCTATTTATTGTAAACAAATTATTTGGAAAAGAGAAACTAACTAAATGGATCAGTAAGCTGAAGTGGCAATGGGCTGTACATATAGCTCGAAGAACCGACTACCAATGGGAAAGGTTTTCAAGTGCGTGCAACGAAGTGTAGGGCCGGCCCCACTAGATCTCTCTTACAGAAGACCAGCGTAAAATAGCAGCTCAACGCTGCTATGTTTCGTATGGTGAATGTAAAGAACTTTTTACTGGAAACGAGGCATTCCATCTTAGTCCTCACGAGGGACAACGCATCTGCATTTTGATTCGAAATCGAGGATAGATGTAGATGTCTATGGACTACAGCAACCATTTACCATCAGGTGGACTGTGTGCTCGTTTGTCATCCTTATCCTATATAAAAATACTCGAATTCCACATTGCTAACGCACTAACTAAAACTGAAGTGACATACGAACTTCCAGTCCACCTGTGTAAGTAAATGTCTACTTCTAATTCAGTCAACTTCAAACAAAGAAGGTATATCACCTCTGAATACTAAGATGGAAGGCCTCACAGCTTTACTAATATTGGCTCTCAATAATCTTCAGGTCGGAACATAGCGGTGCAAGCACTGTTATTTACCAATAGGAATAGATAAGAGAGTGATACCTACCTGGATGTTATAGGCAGAAAAGGAGTTCTAACACCTCGTTACATAACATTAATAGTCGTAAAACATGTTATAACATTAATTATAAATTTGAATTACTTACCTTTTTTTACGTGGTAGAGCCATGCTGCAGCTGTATTACTAGTATAGTTGTAGCACGAATGGGTCGGCTCGACCGGGGAAGGACCACGCTCTCATAGAATACTAGCGTTAAATAGCAGCTTAACCCTGCTGTGTTTTGTATGGTGAGTGTAGAGAACCGGAGATCATTTTTACTAGAAACGAGGTATTCCATCTTAGTCCTCACGGGTGACAACGCATATGCATTTTGATTCTTTATCGATGATAGATGTAGATGTCTATGGGCCTCAGCAATTGCTTACTATCAGGTGGACTGTGTGCTCGTTTGTCACCCTATATAAAAAAAAAACTTAATAAAAATTGACAATAATTGATACGTCATAAACAGTAACGAGGGTAATCCTTTAACTTTAAAAAACTGGCAAGAAAACTTGATGAACGTAATCCATCCAACAAATGTCGCAGATAGGCGAAAGGAAATTTCATTCTGAGACATTCTTAAAATCATTTTCTCGATTTTCGTTTTGAACGTGGTTGAGTTTATATCAAATGGCTCTCATTTCAACAGAGTCGCCGATCGACGTTGACAAACCTTTCCGGATGAAAAAGATGTATTTTTCCTTCGATAAAATTCGGGACGACGGCGCGCCATAAATTTCTTTTGGAACCGCGGCTATAGCTGACTCCCGTTTAGCGTGATCGTTTAGCTTCGAACTAAGCGGCATAGTAGGCTGTGCTCAGAGACGATTTATTGCTTCTTTTACAAACTATTTGATACTTCATCTTGTTGGGTTGCGAATTAATGATTCTTTCATTGTTAGTTTTGGGGGAAAGAATAATGGTTTCGTTGTTTCGGCAATGTTTCATATCCAATAAAGTTATCGGTTTGTGAATTTATTTTAGTGAATGTCTTACCGACAACTTATTAAGAGCTAAATTCCCCAAGGGTCAAAAGACAACTACAGTAAATGTTTAAAATATTTCTCATGATATTTGGTTTTATAAAACAATAAAAACTAGTTAAGAAACATTATCTTTTCATCTAATTTCTTCCCCCTCGTCGTTTTATGATCATTAGTCTATCATTTAAGTTAATTAAGTTATCATTATAATATTTTAGATGATATTATTATTTATTTCTACCCGTTAATTAATTTTTCACTTTGTTTTAACATTTTTTATAGAATAAAGGTGACAAACAAGCCCACAGCCCACCTATAGACATCTACATTTTATCCTCATGGAAATAAATGCAGAAGCGCTGTCACACCTGAGCACCGAGATGGAATATCTCCTTTCCAGTAAAAAGGGTTTCTGGTTCTCTACACTTACCATACTTAAACACAGCACCATTGCGCGGCTACTTTACGCTGTTATCCTTTAAGAGCGTGGTCTACCCCGGTCGAGCCGGTCCATTTGTGCTACAAAGGTACAAATATAATATACAACTATACTAGTAATTACAAGTATGATGGGTACAACTATATTAATATAGCTACAACCTGGCTCTACCATGTATAAATAACATTATTTACTTCTTTATTATTCCGTTTAGTAGGTTGTTTTGAAGAATCTGCTGTATAGTAATAAGACCGCCTGTGTTTCTCTTTATGTTTGATTTTTGTTATTTTAATTGTTTTTAACGAGCAATAAAGGGTTAAGATAGATGGCAAAATAAAAATCTCATCTACGCCTGACATAAAATATCCAGACCGACGAGGATCCAGAAGAGCAGCCTCAAAGATGCTAGACTGTGATACCGTGATTGCAAATCCAATGCTAGTTCAAAGCTATGCCTAGCTATGGACTTTTATGGGCATATGATGAAGATAAGGTATTTCAGTTTTACACATTGCAGTAATTTTATGTTGGCTTTTATTGAAGACGCTGCGGAGCGTCGATTCTTCACATCAGAAAGACTGCAGTCTGTGAACACGTACAGGTTCGCCCCTGTCCCTACAACAAATTTTAATAGACTACAAATCCTCGCTATAGAACACCGATTCCTTTAAAGGATGATTTGTGAGGCTATTGAAATTACAAAACATCCTAGTTTCAATTAAGAAGATGGCTGGGTACAACCATCGGCTTGGGACCCTATAATTAATTTTAAACTGAAGGTAGCCGTGGTTATCTATGACATTGGGACGTCGAACACCTCAGTCCCTCCCGTGACAAAGATTACTTAAATTCGCAATAAAAAAATATTGGAGGTCACTTATTAGGATAAAAACTATCCTATCTCTCAAATTAGACCAAACTGCACACAGTGTGCAAAATTTCATTGAAATCAGTTCAATAGTTTTTTTTTTTTTTGTGCAAAAAAACGTTACCTCCACACTAGGATTTTCTCCTGTATCGTGGAGGCAGTTTACAAACACAAATTTCACAAGGACAAACATCCAGACCCGGAACAATTATTTGTAGGCCATACAAATACTTGTTCCGTGCGGGATTCGAACCCGCGCCCCCCAGCGCAGCAACTCATTGCTAAGCCACTGCGCCACGGAGCCGTCAAAGGAGCCGTTTAGGAGTTCATCGCGGACAAACAATGTGACACGTAATTTTTATATATAAAGATATGTACATATATATTTATAAACAGTATATATTGTAGTATATATATATATATATATATATATATATATTTGTATCGATAGTACCAATGGACGTTTCTTAGGGTTCGATTCTTGACCCATTACTGGTCTTCTTCTTATTCTGGTGCCTCTCCGACTAGCGAAGGTTGGCATTCAGCTTAGTGAACTCCACTCTATTCTTCGCGAGGCGAAACAGTTCCGCAGCACTCGCGATTCCTGTCCACTCCCGGATGTTACATAGTCTTCTCTTCGAGCGACCTCTCTTTTTCCGGCAATTTTTCCCATCATAATGAGTTTTAGAAGTTCGTACCTCACGTGCCTGAGCACGTGCCCCAAATATGTGACTTTTTTTTATTTTGACGGTTTGCATAAGTTCGCCTACCTTGGGTAAATATATAGCGTTAATAATTAACGAGGCCATCAATATTTTCTTCCTCGAAAGATTGAGTTCCTCTATGTGAACATCACCTGGGCCAGCTGATTTTGCAGTTTTAGTTTTTTTAGAGCCTTCGCAACTTCGCTTTTCAGGAAAGAATACCCATCACTCAAATCACAGGTTACAGCAAAACTACGTGAATCACCAGCGAACATTGACGAGATGTACTGTTCCCATAAGTGTTTTTTCCTTGTTGTATCTAGTATAGGGACATTGTGTTCATCTATGAGTTAGTATGTGGTCTTTTTATATTCAATAAAAGAACTTATTTCCTTATGAAGATTAAGCGCGTGTTTTGCATAAAGATTCCATACGAACTCACACTTCCCCTGGTACCAAGCATTGCGTGCATAGATTTATAGGAAGGAAGGATAGATTTTATCGGAATTCTTGTAGAGTCTTCTTTCCCCTATAAGGTTATATATTTTTTCTGTTATCAAACTCTGTTTATGAGCCCAGTCTCTTTTTAAAAGCTTTGTATTAATTTCTGCAAATTTGGTCTTTAGCATGCCTCTATTATACACAGGGTCCCAAATTTTGTTTTTACTGCTCATTCGCATACCACATTCGCTTTGGTGTTACAGCCCGTTAGTTTCCTGATATCTATTTTAAGTTTTGTACAGGCTTCTTTACTATTTTTAACGTACATGATAATGTTGCGACAACTGGGTTGTCATCAGATCTAATGTCAGCTCCAGGTCAGATTATTAATCATTATATAGTCTATTTGGTACCTTACTATATGTTATGGGGTGTGTTGTGGTGAGGTCCTGTATATAGCCTTCGTGGTGGTAGCTGGAAGCAATTATTCAAGATGACAAAGTCGTTTTCTTGTCAAAATTTAATAAGAGTGTCGCCTCTTTCGTTTCTTGCCCCAAGTCCAAATTTTCCAGCCACCCCCGGGATCTCGCCTTGGCCTACCTTGGCATTAAAATCATCCATCACTAGGTTTAGTTCGCGATTCTGAGTTACCTGGAGTAGCTCATCGACTTCTTTGTAAATATTTGTAATATCTTGATCTGAACCATAAGTGGTGGGAGCGTACTCTTTGGTAATGTTGAAGTTACTTGGCTTAGCCTCAATTTGAAACAGGATAGTTTGGTTTGATTTGGGTACGAAGCTTACAGTTGTATTAAGGCGTTTTGTGTTTAAGATCACTCCTACTTCGTACTTGTTGGAGGAGCCTTCATCACCAGAGTAATACATAGTATTATCTTCATCTATTATTTTCTTACCATTGCCTGCCCCAGGTACTTCACTCAGTACCGCGATGTAAATCCTCAAGCGTTTCATTTCTTTTTATACGTTGTAGTCTTTTTCTGGACTCTTCAAAATTCTCACATTCTACGTTCTTAATTTCATTTCTTTTGTATGCTGCCTGCAGATTCCTAGCACCCCTATCTCATCTAAGGGACGCCAGGAACTCGGGGCCATCATTTTATTTAACTTTTCCATATTACTAGAACTAACTACAACTACGGAATAAATAGTGCAGTGATCTCTCGTTGCCTTCTGCACCAGACATTAAAGAGATTATTTGTATTATAAGGCTGTTGCTGCCTCTTCCGACCAGGATTCTAGTCGGGTGTTTATGGTTATACCACCATTGGTCGGCAAAAGAGTCTCGTTAGTTTTCTAGCAGCGGGCACCACGATGATGATCATTGTCGCCAGCTATTCGTGTTAACCACTAACGCGTGCAGGTGAGGTTGACATTTGGGTCTGTTTAGATGGTAGGCAAGTTCTTCTCTTACTCCACTATTTTCTCAATTACTGTTCTTAATCTACACTAATGACTTACCGTATCTTGTAGGAGACAATCACGATATATTATTATTCGCTGATGATACCTCTTTCATTTTCAAACTCAAATGACAGTCAATTAATTTTGACATGATGTAAATAATGCTCTATCGAAATTAGTACATTGGTTTAACGCCAACAATTAACTCTTAAACGGCAATAAGACAAAATTTATTAAATTTACAATACCTAATGTTAAACGTACAAATACCAATGTTCTCTTAAATGGGGAGGAGTTAAGTGTTGTATTATATTAGACTCTTTGTACTACTGTTTTTATTGGTATTACTATTAACACGAAGCTTCAATGGGATACTTTTATCTATTGGAATTTGTACTTTAACGAGTTGAATGTAAATTCAAGAAAAACAACTTCCTTCTGCGTGAATCCCATATCTCTGGTGCCCTTTGACCTACAGGACCCAAATTCAAACTCGATCGAGCTACTATCTCAAGGTATCCACATACCAAATTTAAAGTCAATCGGTCCAGTGGAACGGAAGTTATCGTGTCGGCATACAGACTAACAGACTGCCAGCTAATACCATTAACTTCCTTTCAATGCTACGCAGAAGGAAGTTAATAAAGAAAGTTATATGAGCGAACGTCACCACCCTGCGGCATAGATAGTGATCCGAATCGCGGTTTTTTTCCTGTTTTAAAGAAAACAGTACACGATACATGAAAATTGTGTATTGTGAGCGAGAGTGGATAAAATGTGCCTATGCTGATAGATAAAAGAACTCCATTAATCTGGCCAACTTTTCCTACATTGCTATATTAAACGCTTGAACTAGGTGTCATGTCATGTCGCGCGGCTCAGACGCGTGATATACGCGGGTAAAACCACGGGGTACTAGTAAGTTAATATGCGCGATAAAATCCGTCAAACTAAGTTTCATTTAAATTTATTCACTCTTGTTTTAATGACGCCCAGATTGTAATCGGATGGAAAGGCAGACAACACTTTTATGTACGCATCACGTAAGACGAAGCGAACCGTTTGGTCCGAATGCGTGAAATATTGACAACAAAGGGATTAAAACCCGCAGACTACTTACTTACCAGCAAGTGATTATGTTCTTATGTGAATTTTTACTTTAATATTAAAAAAAAAAAACTTTTAAAATATTTTCCAGGTTTGCTGTCGCCAAAACCCGCTCTAACCAATTAGGTGTAGTTAGTGGCAATAAATTAATAGGCCTACCTCTTGCTTGTTTCCCTCAAAACGAAAGGAAATTGCTTCAATAACGCAGGCATTATGACGACAAAATATCTCACTCCCACTCACAATCTGCAATTCGGGGTGTGGAATTCGCATAAATAACTCGCCAGCCCCGCAAGAAACTTAACGCCAAATTAAACCACAATTTGGCGACGGGCAGGGTGAATAAATTTTGCGACGATATGCCTATATTCTTAAGTCGGAAATGATTTCAGTTTGGAACAGTATTGTTTGTTACAAGTCGTTCGTAATATTTGGGGTTGAGTATAAAGCTACCAGCAGCTTTGTTCACTTGTAATTTAATAGAACGTAACCAGCGTTAGCAGAGATATAAGATAAATTAAAAAAAAATGTCGAGTTTACATGTTAAGACACAAATTTTTGAAAAATTTCCGCCGTATTATTTAATTATTTTAATCTAACTTATTCGGTACGAGTTAACTATTGGATTTATCTTCATTTTTTTTTGCTTTTTTTATAGGATAAGGGTGACAAACGAGCACACAGTCCACCTGATGGAAAGTGGTTGCTGTGGCCCATAGACATCTACATTTATCCTCGATGAGGAATCAAAATGCAGATGCGTTGTCACCCATGAGGACTAAGATGGAATGCCTCGTTTCCAGTAAAAAGGGTCTCCGGTTCTCTACACTCACCATACGAAACACAGCAGCATTAAGCTGCTATTTTACGCTGGTATTCTGTGAGGGCGTGGTCCTTCCCCGGTCGATCCGACCCATTCGTGCTACAACTATACCAGAAATATAGCTGCAGCATGGCTCTACCACGTATATACCACGTTTTTGAGACATTCCATTTTTATACCTTAGATGTGAAGATGCATCTGTAGCTTTCCTTGTTTGAAGTTGCCTGCAGAAGTCCATTTGTACTAGCCACTTGACATAAAGCGGGTTGATGGCCACTTTTTATATAAAAAAAAAATAAGAAAGTAAGGGCACATGCATCGCTGGCTGCTTCAAAGTATGATTGTAAACTAAGCTTATTGGTAAATATTATGGTTTATGGAAATTATATTGTAATATATAATGAAGTACATATAAATATATTTGCAGCTTTATCTTATCTTAAAAATGAGAATAAATATGTGTGTTTCTAGAATATAATAATAATAATAAATATGTATTTCGGTTAATAAATGAGATCCATATCGGAGAAGTAAGAAAAAATCAAAAATATTAATAATAATACAGCTAGGTGGACGGAGGAGGTAAAATGACACACATGCACGCACGCACGCACGCATTTTCGTACGCATACATGCACGCACGCACGTACACCCAAACGCACACACACACACACACACACACACACACACACACACACACACAAAAAGGTAAGTTAGCTATGCAGGACCTTAACCATGCTATAACCCCCAGGATACTGTTGGCACTGTTCCTTGTCCTGCTTAGTAGCGATGCGACTTTTTTTGGAGAAATAAAATATTCGTTGAAAAAAGTATGAGTAATAATCTACATTGTAATAATTAGTATTCTATATTTTATTATACTTTATAAAAGAGTAATGCAAAATTTATAAAAAAAAAATACGCGAACCATAACAAATAGATTTCATAACTCATTTCAATGGTGAAATATTTTTAGACAAGAAATATCTTTTCAATTCTTGGCGCGTGGACGATGAGAAAAAAATAAATAGAAAGATTTTCGTAGACCTCGCCAAATGTCCTACAGTAAATTATATCGACAACAGTGTCCGGACACGACGTGTACGGTCCGCAATTTCAATTTACGAGTAGCGATGCTATAAAACTGGTACGTGATGCGTCGAGACAAATAAGTGGACTATTAAATATATATAAGTGATGATATCAGCCAGAAGTGTGCAGAATAACGCTATGGAATAAGTTTATCATAGCGTGATAAAACATTGACAACGTGTTTGGTAATTGTTGAAGGGAAACTTCTTTATTGACATAGTGAAGAAATTTAGTACGGTATTAAGAAAATGTCACGTTTTCTTGTAACGTTTCACCGGCAGGGCTGCATGAGTATACTATTGCATACCTTAACCGCAAAGCTCGATGGTATGTTTTACTAGCGCCAAAAATCAAGATTCCAAAGTTTTGCCGCATAAAATCGAATCTAACAAGCAAATTGAAGGTATAAATAGCACATTGTCAGAAAAGTAAATGATTAAGTAATTTTTTTTTAAATAGATTAATAGCTATTTTTACTTAAAAAAGTGGTTTTAGTGGCTTATGGTGTAGATTTATCAAGTCCACAGGGAGTGGTAAACACGATAAATATAGAAAGTAAAAAAAAATATCAGTTGTTTAACTCAGTAGAACATTTTTTTTAACTAAACTGTATGCCAATTAATTGCTTCATAAATGTTCCAGCAGAATCCAAAATTGCTGCACCTCTATTGCTATTAGTTAATTTATAATTAATTTTAAAAAAATTTAAGTATCGAAAATTTAATTTTGCTATAAAACACAAAATATCTACCTACTATCTTTTTAAATTTAAACTGTATGCCAATTAATTGCTCCTTAAATGTTCCAGCAGAATCCGTAATTGCTCCACTTGTATTGCTATTAGTTAATTTAGAATTATTTAAAAAAAATTAAGTATCGAAATTTTAATTTTGCTATAAAACATAAAATATATAATTATTAAAATTAAACTGTATGCCAATTGATTGCTCCTTAAATGCTCCAGCAGAATCCGAAAATGCTCCACCTCTATTGCTATTAATTAATTTATAAATAATTAAAAAAAAAATTAAGTATCGAAAATTTAATTTTGCTATGAATCATAAAATAGCTACTTTATAAAATTAAATTGTATTCCAATTAATAGGTCCTTAAATGCTCCAGTAGAATTCGAAATTGCTCCTTCTCTATTGCTATTAGTTAATTTATAATCAATTAAAAAAAAAAACAATTTCTAAAACTTAATTTTGCTATAAAACATAAAATATGTACTTTATAAAATTAAACTGTATGTCAATTAATTGCTCCTTAAGTACTCCAGTAGAATTCAAAATTGCTCCACCTCTATTGCTATTAGTTAATTAATAATTAATTTAAAAAAACTTTAAAACTTAATTTTGCTATCAAACATAAAATATGTACTTTATAAAATGAAACTGTATGTCAATTAATTGCTCCTTAAATGGTCCAGTAGAATCCGTAATTTTTCTGTCTATTGCTATTAGTTAATTTATAATTAATTTTGAGATAGAGTGATCCCATTTAAGTAATAGCGCCATCATCAATAGAA